AATATGCATAAGTTATACTGAAATTTGAAAGAGTTACAACGCGAACTTATATAAGTAAAAAGAACAGAACTCAAAAATAGAACTTGTAGAAACACAACGGGTAATCTCGTAGTACCATTAGTAAATTTTAATCAAAATTCGCTCTCATTACACTTATTTCGGTATTTAAATGTCCTTTTATTTAAAAATTTATCTGCACCAGTTTCTCCGATTTATCCCAGGGTTCATTTTGCTCAGAGTTGTTATGAGTCGTAATTGTGAGTCAAAGATCTTGAAATGGAATTTTATATTAAAATTAGTATCAGTGTGAGACTGAATAATCTCCGTTTATCAGAAATAACGATGACGCACATTACTAGCCATTAAGTTTTTCATATTCTTCTAATCAATAATTATTTACTTTTGCTGCTTAAATCGAAATACTGTTTTCAACTAGAAATCACAACGCACTACACGCTTTGAAGATAGAAACTTTTAACATACGTTCTATTAATAGCTTACTGGGACATTTATTTTTATTTTGCATTCTGTGTAATGGCAGCATACAAATATAAAATGACATTAACTAAACAAAAGACGGGAAAAAACGCTAATGGCAGCGAGCAGCTTGAATAGCCAGCCACATCTATCGCTCATACGTCGAAAGATATTTATGATGAAACAATTTTTCATTCGCTCCCTTTGGGATGGAGTTTCAAACCATTAACTTGATTGCTGTTCGTCAGTTCATTCATAAATACTTCCACCCCCACAAAGCAGCAGAATAGGAGTTTTCATCAGGTATGTGATTTCAGGCTTCAACAAAAAATTAATGATCTCAATGACAGATAATCATGAAAGTATTTTTCGGCACATTTTTGATGATGAAAGATTAAACTGCTGAACATCTACACCCATCGTCTAGTAAATTGCCACGAACATTATCTTTAACCATGCAGATTTCTTTGATTTCGTATGTGATGCTTATGAATTGGAACGCAAATAATAAGCACATTAATTTGATAGGGAATCAATATTAAAGGACCCAATATTTTATTGTTATTAATTAATAATACTACATTCATTTATCTTATAAACAAATGAATATGGCGATTACCAAATAAACAAATAAGTCTTGATTTCGCGAGTGCTATAGATAAATAGATAGCTAAGACAGATAGATATATAGATAGCTAAGTCAGATAGATAAATAGATAGCTAAAGATAAATAAATGGATAGCCCCTACTGTAGCTAAATAGATAGCTAAGTAGCAAAGAAAATCATATTTCTGTCTTCACATTCTGTCATTTAGGTAAGGAAGTTAAGGTTTTTCGGTCAAATAATTCGATAGGGTGTTTGCAGTAAATAAGCAACTCTCACAACACGTTATTACTGTTTTTATAATGATGCCTCTGTGTCTGCGTAACTGTTTGTATGTAGGTGTGCAACTATTTATTTGTCCCCGATAACTCTCATAATAAACTTCCAAAAATTTTATTTTTTTCGTATTTAAGCTTTCTGCAATCGTGATAAATTTTTGGAGTGGTATTCCCAAATTGAACAAATACCAAGCAAAAATAATATACCAGCTGTTCAGCTTGTGGGGTTCCACCCTTTTATCTAACAGCTATGTGTGTAGGAACTTCGTGAACAGCTAAGCGAATAATTGCTTTAGTTTAGGAATACAGACGTAAACACAAGGAGGGTTAAGTACCTTTTATTTCTCAAACTAAAAGTTAAACAGTCGGCTTCTTTCCCAGGGCGTACAGAAAAGCCTCCCCTTGGGCTTGAACTCAAAATGATAGGACTAAGGCTTAATGTTTAAGTAAAGAGATACAGCTGAAGCTAACAAAATTCCAAGTAGTCGGCCCCTAAATATCGAATAATCTAGCGAAGCTATCAAGGGCCTGTAATACGACCAAGCGTAGTAATAGCTTAGAAAGACTTAGCCAAAAGACAGAAAGTCTTTTGGCTAAGTCTTTCTAAGCTAAGTCCATTATCTGAGCGCTAGTCAGAAACTCTGAGGCTCTCTCTCGAAGTCAGTGGAACTTCGACTTAAATACCACTCTTACTCATCTGCATTAACCGCGATCTTAAAATAAAATTCTGGTAGGGAATTATAAGCTGAAATTAGGAAGAAGAGGAAAGTAGCTTTAACTAGAATTAACTGTTAGAAACTTAGGATAAACCTTACAAGCTATCTAAAGAAATTTCTGAAAAAATGAAGTTTAACTAGCCAGAGATTGAAGTACTTTAGATGCTATGCCAAAGCATATTTGGCCTTCTCGTGTAAATTCTCCAAAATTCAAGAAGATAAGACCATTCCTGAAAAGGACAAATTCCATTATTTGCTTCAAGCAGTAGTCCGGAATAAAAAGTAGAGAGAGTGGTGAAAGTCGCCCACCTCTAGCTGTGAATTATCCAAAGGTGATTAGTTGACTTTCGAACGAGAGATTTTACTCATACAAATTTACGTACCAGATTTGTTGAGTATGATTATCTGGACGCTTGAAAATAGATCTATCGGCATTGTATGATGAACTAGAATAGAAAATAAGAGCGTTAGAGAGTCTAGGAAAAATCCAGAAGTATGACAACTTGTCTTATGGAATCCTGTCTGTCAGAATAAATTCTTATTTCTTGAGAAATGTGAAGGAATTTAAAAGAAGCAAATGAATTAGAAGAACGATTTTTTTTTTTAAATTGATCAATTTTCTGAACAAGATTTTAAAAGAGAAGAAATGATTGAACTTACATGTTCAAATTTTAGTGCTAATTCATTTAGTACAAGGGGTGTTAAAATGAAAAGGTACGACATGTTGTAACAACCGGTTGAAATTTGAATATGCCGCTTTGGCATAACGTAGTGAACATCTAAGAAAGCAAATGTAGTGTCCGACTTGGTTGTGCGCATGCGCAGGCTTCTGCACATGACGCCGGTGTGAAGCAGACAGTTGTGTGTTCCGTCCAATTGGTGCGGCAGTGCGTATGATAACATCTTGGCGTTTACATTGCAAAATTCGGCGACTGAGTACCAGATTTCTGACTGTGGAAGGATTTAACGCGGCCGATATTTGTCGCCGGATAGTGGCCGTATACGGAGCAGACTGTGTGTCCGACAAGTCAGTGAGAATGTGGAGTGCCAATTTTGATGAAGGCTTGAGTGATGTGTTTGAGTAATGACCCGAGACCAGGCCAGGTAAAAACTGTAATCACGGCCGAAGTCATCGATAAGGTGAACGACATCGTGAGAAGTGACATCTCAAAGTGAAGCGCTTCAACTCGGACGATGTGCTGAAAGACACAACGGAGAACTGTCTCTTGTAACAGCTACAGGAATTCTGGGAAGAGGGAATCCTTCGCCTCGTAAAACAGTGGAATAGTTGTGCTCAGGACTTTAGTGATTACTTGTGAATAAAGACTTCAGTATATCTATAGTGTCGTTTCGTACCTTTTCATTTGAACACCCCTAATTAGTCAAAAATTTCCTAATATATGACTGAAGTATGAGTTGATAAACCGTCCGTTAAATCCCCTACTGCAGCAGCTCTGGTAAGCACTTCGAAATACGGTATTTTAGGTAACTGAAATATTAGTTGTCTATTTTGTGAGAAAATATATTCCACTATAAAATGTTTCGCTGTTTGAAATATGATTTTATATGCTAAAAGAAAACATCTCATGATAAAAACTGGCTGTTTTACATGTTCTAGTATTCCATATAGCGAAATGTTTTAAAATCACAATGTAGCTGCATTGTAATTCTAAGGATCACAACAGTCTTGTGAGATCCTACCGTAAAGATAATAATGTAAAAAATAAATCAGAAGTGGCTCAAAATTGAAGTAAATCCTAAGAAGTTGAATCTAATGCATTGACTGGATGACGTTGATTTAATTGAAGGAAGCCACTGTCGCAAAGGAATCCGATTTTGAGCCTGAATCCTGGAAAATTTGAGACTACGCTTTTGTTGCGAATATCTCAGCCAGCTGATTCAAACCATAACCAGAAGCATACGCATACAAGTATCAATTTAGTATCAACTGCTGTTATGGGAGATGACTTTAAGAAACGGTTGAATTGGCCTCCTGCAAAAATTATACAACTTATACCTGAAAAGAATGATAATATGTGACACAAATGGGTGTTTTCATGAGACCAATACAAAGAATGTTTTTAGATATGCAGTTTGATGATTCTTCAGATTCTGTTTTGCAGATAAATGCTGTGATATATTCACCAGCTAACAAAAGTTGGAACCTGCAGGATGATGAGAGCATGCCAGATACTGTCAATCCTCTGTTTTCTCGTATTGCCGGATCTAATAGAGTTATTGATGATACCAAAAAGATTTAACCCTTTGTGACGTCATTTATATTTTCAGTTTCTCAGAGTAGACTCAAAAACGGGGGTGGATAGTATAAACCTGGGACAACAACTATCGCAAAAGGAAATGAAGTGAGATCCATTACGAGTTGGAACCTTATGGTTACATATGGATCTCACTTCACTTCCGAAAATTTTAGAACGCGCATGGTGTTCTGTTACATCTATAGTTACAATATAGGTTTTCATTTAATTAAATTGTGTTTTGTATATGCCACATTATCCTTTCATTTATAGGAGTTACTTATGCAACATCGGCAAGATGCTGTTTATTTGCATTACCTATTATGAGTTGCTCTTTTTTACGAAAAGTGCAACAATATCATATGTGGTGAAAGATTAAAGCGATAAGTGAAAATTAAGGGTCATAAACTAAAAATTATTTTAACGTTATTTACTCATAATACAAAAATAAGATTAAAGCTTCAAATCGAAACTGCTATTTTTCGTCAATGCATTATAGCATAATTAACCAGGTTGCATTTGCTTTCATGGCTGTCTTAAGTTGTATTTACTGAGAAACACTAAACATCCAGCTGTTACTCGAAGTCGAAAATGTCTATTATTTAGTTAAAAGACAATTTTGTTAAGTCTAGTAGTTATTAAATTCAAATGCAAATAAAAATTGGCAAACCTGTAATTGGCGACATATCAGACACAGTCCATTCCAATTCAATTGAAAATTCGGATTTGTTGACAATTTTCAATACAGGAGATTTGGGAGGATCTGAAGAAAGGAAAAATGTCATAAATTTTATGATTAATGGCATAATAATACATTTCAGAAATGTGCAATTAATTAACAAAACAACAAAATCTACGGAAAGAATATTAAGTTTTCATCTACTCTAGTACTCTGTTTATACAAAGAGTACATTTTAAAAGTAAATAGTATTTCTCCTTAAGAGTTAGTACTGCTGCTTTCTAAATTGAATATTGTAGTATCTGGCGACTGTTTGGCGATCAACAAAGCTCTCTTGGCGCGTGTAGCCTCTTCTCCAAGAAGGGTTTCTGTATTTTAAGAGAGTTGAATGTTAGCCTCGGAAGAGGAAGGTACTCCAGTTTGCTATGTGGTAGGAGCGACGTACTGCTCTGAATTTAATATCATGCTTTGAATATTTATCTTAATAAATGTTTGTTTCGTCTTGTTAAATGGTGCCATTTAAACCACGAAGCCGTTACAAACATAGCTTCAAATACAGCCAGTCTTGTATACGCTTTTTCTTATATAAATTATATGCTATTTACATTCATTATACACGATCTAAACTACTAGCAAAATTTAGAAAAAAAATATAGTTCACCTGAAAAGCTCAAAGCGTAAGTAAATGAATTCTAAACATGAGAAAATTACAGAAAAATTAGGAAAATAACTCTATCCCCATTATATGATGCTTTTCTTATATGTGTTTGCTTGTGTGATAACGAAAAGAATAAAATATGTTTTAAGTAATGTATTAAAAAATAACTGGGAAAAAAACTGCTGATGAAAGCAATTTAAAATAAGCTCCTGATAAGTTTGAAGAAACAGCTCAAAGCTGAATGAGCTGTACGTAGGAATTTTGATTCTGTTGAAAGAATGCTTAATATTAGACAAAAAATATTTATTTGAAAAATTCCCCGATCAAGCTGCAGAGGGTTGAATTAAAACCAATTAGTACAAAAAGAATTAAATTTATTTCTTAAATTTTTAAAGATTATCTTGTCTGAAGAAAAATTGTGTAAAGCGGAGATTTTTTGAGAATTTTGCCACTTCTCTTTTCACACACATTCAAAACCACAGAATTGGCAACCTTCGTTTTCTCTTGCATTTCGGCTTCAGAAATGTTAGCCACTTTTACAGTGTCTCACAATCTGCATACGTAAGTTGTTTATGGCTTGTTTTCATTTTTATAATTTTCATTGTTTACAATTATAAAAGCATAATTAGTTTTTAACTCTTTGAAATCCAGACCCTTCGCTAACCTGTATCCTCAAAATACCCGACCGCCTGAAATACATTTCCAGTTTCACAGCAATTTCCTCCCCTCCTCAATCATTAAACGCAGAAAATAGGTGTGAAGACTTCCAATGACATCCTTTGTACTTTTTAACAAAAATTCCATTACCCTTTGACACCGTTCTTTATAAACTATTCTGAAGGTCAGACCAAGAAGCCTTTTCGGCTATGTTATGATCACGACTGAGATTTTGCTTATTTCCGTTACTTTTATAAGAAGGAATAAATTGTTTAGAAATAAATATAATCCTTAAATTTTTAAACTTCTCTTTTATTGTTGTTTAAACTTAAAAGCACACTGAACCACAAAAGAATCAACAACGAAATGTCACGATCAACCAAAAGATAATACAATCATGTCCATAAATTAAGGATAATTCGGAGCCACCCGGAAATCGAACTCTAAAATAAATATATCACCTGTAAAATCACTACACACATCTTCAAGAATCATATGCAAATTTCAGGAAGTAACCAGATGACACCGATTGTATGTCACAATGACGAGAGTGTAAGAGAGTGATATATAAGGAATACAGGCAAAGAAGTAAAATTTGTGCGCAGCCGCTTTATAAGCATTTCAGTGCAATAACCGAATAGTTATGACACAAAGAACACATTTGGATGATTTTTTACGTGGTAGAATTATCGGTCGTCTGGAATGTGGGCGTACCCAACTGGAAGTATCAGACGAACTTGGAATTGCCCAGAGTGTCATCTCCAGGCTCTGGCAACGATTCCAAGATGATGGTAATGTGAGTAGACGTTACAGCACAGGTCGCCCCAGAGTTACAACGCCGAATGAAGACCGACATTTGGCAGTTACTGCCAAAAGAAACAGGTGGAGCACAGCCTCAGACCTGTCTCGTCAGCTCTCTTCAGCCACCGGTACGACAATTTCAAGGCACACCGTGTACAGACGCTTAGGGCAGGTTGGTCTATATGTTCGTAGACCTGTCAGATGCGTTCCACTTACTGCAACTCACAGTCGCCTGCGGTTAGCCTGGAGTAGAGAACATGCATTGCGGACACCGCAACAGTGGGCTTGTGTGATGTTTTCCGACGAGTCCAGGTTTAGCTTGCAGTCTGATTCTCGCCGGACTTTCATATGGAGAGCTCCAGGTACCCGTTACCACCAAGAAAACATCATTGAACGACACCGTTACGGTGGTGCAGGAGTGCTCGTTTGGAGTGGAATTATTCTGGGTTCCAGAACTGACCTGCATGTTCAAATTGGAACAATGACAAGCCAAATCTATCGGGACGTCATTCTGGAACAACATGTACGTTTGTTTCGGGGCGCCATGGGCGCACAATTTGTGTTTATGGATGACAACGCCCGTCCTCACCGTGCAAACATCGTAAGCGAATGCCTTCAATCGGAGGATATCACCCGTATGGACTGGCCAGCATTCTCATCGGACTTGAATCCAGTAGAGCACGTGTGGGACATGCTTGGCCGGCGAGTTGCAGCTTGTCAACCTCCTCCTACATGTCTACCGGAACTTCGGAGAGCATTGCTTTTTGAGTGGTGTAATATCGCCCAAGATCAGATCGATAATTTGATACTCAGCATGCCTAGGCGTTGTACGGACTGTATTTCATCGTCTTGAGACATACAATGTATTAACAATCGTACCAACCATGTAATATTGGTTTTTTGTAATTTGCTCCAGGGAGAAAAAATCGCTAATTTTTTTAATAATATCTAACATATAGCATCTTTATTTGCTCTTTGTCTTTTGTTTAATAAATAAGCTTTAAAAATAAGTCAAATTTGTTTTGCTTCTAACTCTTCCTTTGCCTGATTTTGCATTATCCCTAGTTTATGGACATGAGTGTAAAACCTCTTACGACAAACTGTTTGCAGTAAACTGATACAATGCATTTGGATAAATTGCACCTGCTACTGCGTATCTTAGGGGGAGGTGATGTGATGTGATGTATTTAATTGTGGCAAAGCACGCTAGGGCTATCTGCCTAAGGGGAGGGATGCCTTCGTGGAGGACTTTCTAAGGGAAACTGGCTCGTATACACGTTACATATGGGGAAAACCACTAAAACACCCATGCAGCCAGCCCGTTCGCGGATTCGAACCTCGGACCGAACTACCAGTCTTAGAAGGAGGGAAGAAAACAAGATTACAATCTCGGCTGTTTTCGGGCGGTTCTGGTAGTTTCAATGTAGGGCCGTGTCGGGCGGATTGGATGTGAAGGAGTTAAATCATCCTAGTTTCCAAAATAATAATGATTTTAATAAAGTTTTGTCATTTCAGAAAGTGCCGCTTTTTCGGATGTTAAGATTTTAGCTTTTTAACTTATTGAGTTTCATTCTTTTTTTTAATGGTGCTTGTAAAACTCATTCGTACGTTTTTATAACTGAGCAAATGTTTCTGGTACAGCTTTATAGGTTCTATATGTATATTATACTTTTATATTATTTGCATTTTGAATTTGCTTTTATTCTTTGCTTGTAACTAACAGGGTCCCGAAAAACACGTCGGGGTAGTTCTTGGCATTATCCGACTATTAGAAATATTATTTGCCTTTGAGAAGAATTTTTTAACCGTTTTGAGTCGCATAATGTCAGAATAACGACACATATGCTTGGCACTCATCAATCCTCCAGATTTAATGTTTTAAACGCTAACCCCTTGGAAGAGTACTTTATGAAACATTAAACAAAAGGGGATTAGTTTTATTTATTTAAAACAGTTTTTATTTGTTACTCCAGTTAGTACACTTTTTCTAATTTGCTCTTCAGAACACATTTTTCCAGCTTTAGTCTTTTTCACTTCTTATTAATATGAGACAATTTCACTGCGCTATTCACTTTTTCTCAAATATAAAAATCTTTTCAAAATTTAAAAAAAAAAAAAAAAAAAAAAGTCTTTAATCTTTTTTTGTACTAATTGCTTATATACAAATATCTTTTAAGATATGGCTCCTAAAAGAATTACCAAGGGCCTTTCTAATGACAAATAAGTAATGCAAATTATCAAATTAAAGGAAAAAAAATAAACAAGCCATCTGTTTGACCTTGAAATTTACTTTGAAACTTCAGAATCGAAAAAGCGAATGTGAGAATGGCTGCGGTAGTTCTAATACCACATCGTTGAACAAAATATACAATTGACCAGATACAGAGTTTAATATTTATTAATGCATCAGTTTAAAAATTACACAATCTTTTTAGTCTTTTTGATACATTTTTACGACAGCAAAAGTTTAAAATATACTTTCTGTCAGAAAATTAATGGTTTCTATTTTAAATCGGAACAGTTAGAAAAACACTTCTCGTACCGATGGTAAGAGGAAAACCATCGTATAATTAAACCGGTCTAAACTTATACGTAAGGAAACATGAGAAATGTAATTTTGATTGATTGGGCTTTGATCATTTAAAATTTTCAAAACAGAAATTGACTATTATCCTTCCAAATAAAAAAATTAAATAACATTGAGTGGAAACGCCAGTGCTTGATTTTATAAAATATGAGAATCGCCCAATGACATTTTAATATTCGTTAAGAATTCACATCTCCTTTAAGCTAACAGTCATGCCGTTAAGTTATTTAAATTAATTTATTTTTTAAGACAAGAAAAATTAATTGGTGACGAAAAAAAAAAAAAAAAAAAAAAAAAAACATACTATCATTTACGAGTGAATTAATCCTTATCAAAGTTTAAAAAGTTTAAAAAGAAAAACAAAGTTTTAAAAGAAATAGT